TCGTGCCAGTGCGCTCTCCTCACGATTCAAGCGACAATGTAAAAAAAGAAAAAACCGAAAAAAAAAAAGAACTATTTACGAGTGAATGGCAAATAAAGTATACAGTAACGGATGAGTTTGTTTAATAGCCTAGTACCTGGTAATTACTCTGTCTGAACTGGTTCTCGTTTGATTGCCGAATAAATTATTGAGACGGCGGTAATCTATTCGCGAAGCAAGCGAAGAAAAAGAAAAAGAACGTTAATTGATCTAACATCGTTTCTCCTTTTCCTGTACATTTGTCGTTTTATAAATAGAAAATCTCGTAAGAGAAATGTAAACGTGAGTGTAAAGTATATACAACGTACATATAGATGCATGTTCAATTGTATTATGTAATCGCTGCTGCACTAAGTTTTGTTATATACTTTTTATTTAAACTTGGAACTTGCTCGAAAGGAGTGGAAAATAAAAACAATCAGACGTTTTGTTAACACTTTTAGTTTTTGTATTTGTAATAACATAACAATTTTCGTGTTCCGAGATTGGGAACGGTATAAGAAAAAAGAAATGATACGGCTAAAACAATTGATGCGTAAACAGCAAATATGTATATATATATAAAATATATATATATACATATATGTGTCTGTAGGAATACGATGCTTGTAAATATAAAAGCAACAAGTACGGGCTTTAACAATAATATGGAATACCGACGACGTGTGAGAACAGAGGTGCACTGAATAATACGAATGTTAGGAAAATATCGTTATTACATCTGGTGCGAAATATTTAACACTCACTTTTCAGTGCATCCCACGAGAGAAAAAAAAAAAAAAAAAAAAAAACGTTCCGTGAAAGCCGTGAAACAACGATAAATATATTACTCTTCGCTCGAGAGTCAACCGTAATTCGACTCGAGAAGCTTTCACGAAACATTTTCCTCCGCGCTTTGTCTCCTCCTCCGTGCTTTTTAATACACCTTTGTGTGCACCGTCAAGAATTGTACAACTTTCGATTTACAACTCTCACCGGACAAAACTAACGTCGAGAAAACAATTGATTTTCGTTTAGACGGATATATAACAGAGTTGTTGTTGTTGTGGTAACAGAGTTCTTATTTTCGTGATTTAAAAGAAAAAGCAGGTAACAACGAATTCCTATGTTCAGATAAATATATAGTTTATGCGCCGGTGGTATCCTTAGAGACTAGGAACATCTCTACGAGTTTGATCAAGTTCTCGATCCCCTCTAAATAATTTCGATCCAACGTGCTATGATCCTCTGCCGGGAAGACGTGCGTAAAGTCGATCATGTTAATTCTAACCCAGTTCTGCTTCTCTTCCGAGGAACTAGTTAGCTCGTTCACCAGATCGTCGTAATCTTCTTTCATACGAACGATGTCGTCGTCGAAATTGCTCGCGCAAGAATTCGTGCGACAGGGACGATCCGCTTGAAAATCCGGACTGCACGATTCACTTCTGTTCACGATCCTTTCCTTTTTCGACCAGTCGTACTCGCTGCTCAGGCTGATGCTCCTCTTAATGAAATGTACCCTTTCTGTCGTCCTGTTTCTGCTTGTGTCGACGTTGTTACTTGTCGCGTCGAACACGTTCGATGTGGTCGTGCGATGACTGTTCGTCGTGGAAAATGATTTACTATCTACGTTACCATCGGATGATCTATTCACGCCTTTCTCATTCAAGCGAAGATAATGCCGCAATCTTTTCGCGTCGTATGCCACCAACAGAGAACTAGAATAAAAGCGGAACAACCGCTGGGTACGAAAGAATAGTAAGATCTTCCACAAGAAAGAGAGAAGCTTCACGATCAATTGACGACAGGGCGGTCTTTCTGGACTTATATTCAGGAAGATTTTCAGCG